CCGCAGATTTGTCCTTTTGCCCACTCACTCCCCCCTTCCCACGCATGACTCCTTTCATCCATGCTGTTGCCAGAATCTCGTTTCAACCCTGACCTCCCATTGAGCGTGAGGCTTCCCAGTATCGCCCATGGGAAGAAGAGGCCCATCCAAGTGATATAGGCGTGGGGATATGTAGAAGTCTATCTCAATCAATCCGGCATCATGTGCCGCGGTTTTCGGTTGCCCTGCGTACTGAACATTTCGATAACTCGTCATATAACTCTAACAGCATCCCGCAGGACATGGACGGTTGTGAGGCAAGGCACAGCTATGTGCACGCTGCTGCTCTTTTTACCCATTTCAAAAGAGGCACCCGTATCTTGATTGAGTGGGCTATAATATCGTGTCGCACTCGAGCGCAGTTGGTACTCATCATGCAATACTCTTGCCTCAACACAAGTCTCATGCAAAAGAGTAGTTCTGTAGCCTGTTGTAGTAGCATGGGATCTACTGCTTGGCATGACTAATTATGTAGGGTGTTCAGGGTGTAGCAGGTCCACGTGATTCTCAAGAAATTCGCTACTATTGGACACGTGAATGCTGGAGCCTCTGCAATGCAGACATGGGCAGGAAGGACAGGGAAGATGACAAAATGTTATAAGTAGGCATATGGGGAACCCAATCACAGGGAAGAAGGGGAAAATAATAACAGGGCAGAGTAGTGGGGGAATTAGAAAGAGTGGGGAACCAGCGAGATCGCTTATGACTGGAGGAGTGAGATGGGCCACTGTGGGGAGAAGGAGGCATGAATTCAGCTCAACACTGACTGCAGTCAAAATGCAAGAGATTCTGGTGGTGAGGCAGGGAGAGAGGTCTAAGTGTACGATGGGCAAATAGGCAGCTGTACGAGTGGAGTGGAGTAGCCATTCTGTGCATCAGCAGCAGAGGCGGCGGAAGGAAGGAAATGGGGTGGACGGCATCATGTGGAACTGGCATGCAGGTTTGGGGCATGGAGAATGAGGCATGGGCATGGGGGCATGAGAGACATGCATGGGCGAGCCCGTGAAAGTCGTGATGCACGCATTCACATAAACCTTAGCTTGTAGGTGCAAGCGCTTCGTTGGGTTTCTCACCGCCCCCCTTTCAATAGAACCACTCTCATCCTCTAACTTGACCTCATGAAAGCAGCAGTGACGAAATAACTTGGCGCACAACACACAGAACACACCTGGTGCAGACTCAAGCCAACTCTTGAGACGCATCCCAAGATCTCTATGCCTCCCACCAACCGCACCTCATGGAACCAGGTGTGGCAGAAGAAGTCAGCGCACAACAAACAGAGAAGGGGGAGGAGGTGGAAGGGGATAGAGTTAAAGAACGGAGGGAGGGGAGAATGGAAAGGTGAGATGAGAGCATAGAATAGAAGTCTGAGCAAATGGGGTTGAGCAGCGGGACACAGCCGAAGGGCAAACGGTGAGGAGAGGGGAGCGGGGGTTGGTGTATGGGTGGCACCATAGAATCTCACACTGTCATTTCACCTGACAGGTGGAGACCACCTGAGGTCAGGCTGTCAACTGAAAGTATCTTCTCCCCGTAGGGATGAGCAAGGTGGCGAACACCTGTTCGGTTCGCCTCGAACGTGTTCGAGGCGAACCGAACAGGTTTTGTTTTTTAGCTCAAATCGTTCTCCGAACAGTGTTCGATGTTCGCCCGAACACGTTCGTGTTCGGGCCGCTGCTGAAATTTGCCCGCGACGAACACGAACAGTGTTTGAGGTTCGCCCGAACACGCCTCCACAGGCGAACAGCGAACACCTGTTTTTTCCTTAACTGTTCGCCGAACCGAACACTGTTCGGTTCGGCAAAAGAGGGTGTTCGACAAGGGGCGAAGACGAACATGTTCGTGTTCGCCCTTTGCTCATCCCTATCTCCCTGTATAGTTCCTCCTCTGCTGCCCACAGCATCCGCAGACAAAACAGGACACATGCACCAATGCAGGAGAGAGGAGAGGACGAGGGGGTAAGAAGGGGGGAAGTAGGGGTAAGACCATCTGAGGAACAACACAGGCACAACAGGGTGGCCAGGGTAAGTAGTCCCCCTGTTAGATAGTCAGGAAGCTTCATAAAAGAGGGTGGGTATGTGTCCCAGCCCAGCAGCAGTGTGGTGCAGCTCTCACCTGTGCCTCCTAGAACTCCACTTCATCATCCCACTCCTTGTCCTCCTCCTTCAACTCTTCCTCCTTCTCTCACCCTTCCCCTTACCCCTCCCCTCCCTCACTCTCACTCCCTTGTGTCATCCTTCCCTCCTCCCCTCCCTCCCTGCTTCCATACCACCCGCTGTCATTCCCTCCCTCTTGCCATGAGCTTCAGGTTCGGAGGCAGGTCTGGGAACAGGCTCGGCAGCAGGGTCAGGAGAAGCGAGGGGCCTTGGAACAGGGACTTGGTGGCTTGTTCTTGTCGGTGCTTGCAATGACCTGATGGCAGGCAGAGAAGGGAGGGGGGTGGCCGAAAGGGAGAGGAGAGGAGAGGAAGAAAGGGCCGGATGGAAGGGCTTTGGGACATGTGGCACGTGCTTGTCTGTGATTGCATTAATTGCCTGAGAGGGGAGGGGGAGGAATAGAGAGGAGGGGCAGGAAAAACGGAAATGATTTTCTGAGAGAAAGATTGGAAGAAATTGGGTGGGAAGAAGAGAGCAGCGTGCAAAGAGTGAGGGGGAGCCCGGGTGAGGAAGCAAGAGTGTGGGGTAGAGGGAGAGGGGGCCTCGCCTGGGGTAGGAAGGGGGACAGAGGTGGGGAGAGTAGGGAGGGTGGGGACGGGGAAAGTGTGGGAAAGGGGGGGGTTGAGGTGGGGGGAGATGGGGAGAGATGGGTTTCGAGGGCGCGTGAGAAGGCCCTCCCTCTACGGCTTGTCCTAATAGGGCGTTGATGATAGCGGATGGGGGAAAGAAATGTGGATGAGGTTGGCAGGCGGGCCGGCAGTGGGTGGGGGGAGGAGGAGGAGGAGAGAGGGGGGAGATGTGGGGGAGACACGAGCCGATGTGGGAATACGAGGTTCCTTAGACCTCATGGCGAGGGAGGCGAGCAGGAGGTTATGGGGAGTAGGGGAGAGGCAGAGGAGGAGGGGATTAAGGAGGGGGAGGGGAGAGAGGTTGGCGTCTGACAGTTTTTAGTTTTTTACGCTGGGGCCTGGCCTGGCCTGAGGGCGCTGATATGAGCTGCGCACTCATTGCCACATGTGCGTAAAACATGTGCAAGTGCCGCCAGATCGCCACTCGCCTGGGTGGGGAGGAGGGGCGAGAGGGGGAGAGTGGGGGGGGAGGATGGAAAGGGGTGATGGAAGGAGAGAAAGTTTGCTACACCCCTCACACGAGGAGCCAGGCCCGGACTCGACCTTGATGGCGATTGCCGTGGCACGGGAGCGGGACAGCAGTGAATGTTGGAGAGGGGGAGCCCACACGGAGGGGCGGAAAGGAGAGAAGGATACAGAGAGCCTATGGGACGTAGGGGACGCAAGGCTATGAGAGTATGCGGCGGAACGAAGAGGGAAGGGGAGAGGAGGGAAATGAGGTGAGGAGAGGGGAGGTGCGAGGGGAAGAATAGGGTGGCAACGGAAGGAGCTTTGATCACGATGGCGCAAAAGGGACGCCACTTTGCTGCCCACGGACGGGCGGCGGGGAAGGGTGGGGAGGGGAAATGGGGACAGTGGGGAGAGAGTGAGCAGGAAGCGAAGGCGACGGGAAGGGGAAGTGGAGGGGGCGGGAGGGGGAAGTGCTTGCGATGGGATGGGGAAGTGGATGCGACGGGAGGGGGAAGTGGAGGCGACGGGAGGGGGAAGTGGAGGCGACGGGAGGGGGAAGTGGAGGCGAAGGGAGGGGGAAGTGGAGGCGACGGGAGGGGGAAGTGGAGGCGACGGGAGGGGGAAGTGGAGGCGAAGGGAGGGGGAAGTGGAGGCGACGGGAGGGGGAAGTGGAGGCGACGGGAGGGGGAAGTGGAGGCGACGGGAAGGGAAAGGTCGAGGCGACGGGAGGGGGAAATGGAGGCGACGGGAGGGGGAAGTGGAGGCGACGGGAGGGGGGAGTGGAGGCGACGGGAGGGGGGAGTGGAGGCGACGGGAGGGGGAAGTGGAGGCGACGGGAGGGGGAAGTGGAGGCGACGGGAGGGGGAAGTTGAGGTGACGTGAGGGGGAAGATGAGGCGACGGGATGGGAAAGATGAGGCGACGGGAGGGGGAAGTGGAGGCGATGGGAGGGGGATGTTCAGGGAACATCGCATACTTTGCATTGGGTACTTATTTGCGCAGTGATCATTTCAAATACGGACCGTAAACCAAAGGGCTGCGCGGATTTCCATGAGGTCGCTCACGCGATTCGAATGACGACAGGGCTTTTTTCCGGTCCGAGGCGTAGAGAGCGACGAGGATGCGCGATGAAACCCCACGCGATCTCTGTCTACGCCATGAGACGCAGCGCGTCGAGGCGCAAGGCGTCGAAACGCTGCGCGAAGTGACGCAGCGCGATGTACCAACCCTGCGAGCAGCTTCGTCGACATGGCAAGTCGACGGAGTGCCGGCATGGTTGGGACTACTATCTAAACGACCTTCGGTCATACGACGAACGCGACCATCGCCGTCGCATCGTCTGGATGTGCGCTCTGCTCGGAAGTGCCAGAAACAGGCAATAGCACCAGCACCATCAATGCCCCTATTTTCCGCTGCTAGCTTGCCATAGTTCCCAGTATATAGCATTACGATTGAGAGCAGGCGTGCCATGGCCGTTCCTACTGTGCGTTCGAGTTGTGCGTGGGCTTTTTTGTTAGTGCGGCGGGTACTTGTTTGTGTCCAAGAGTCCCAAATTGCACACCCTCGTTTTCAAGTTTTTGGGTGTGTGTTGGTTCTGCCGAGCCCTTTTTTTTTTTTTTTTTTTTTTCGATGAAAGATACACTATAAAAAGTGCACAATACATCAGCAGTCGTAACTGTAGCTGGTGGGCCTAGGAGGCATGCACCTTCCGTACCCACCCTGACCTTCTACGGAGGACGGAAAGCAGCCTTCGGATTCGACCACAGGGACATGAAACCTTTCGCCCACGTGGCCGGCTTTATCGACGTGTCCCAGATTCTATCCATGGCTCGGCGCTCATCCCCGTCCAGGTTGGCACGAGAAACACCAAGCCTCCGCTTCGCTGCCTTAGCACGAGTGTAAATCTTGACATGCAACTGGAAAGCCGCCGCGATTCTCCGCAGGACCCTCCTTGCCCGGAATTTGCTCCTCTCGAAAACCACATCACACCTTTCCACCCAAATCCTATGTAGAGCGATTGACGTGATGGTAGCCTCGGGAAACCCCGAGCCTGACCCCGCTTTCTGGAACAGGAGATCCCCCAACGACTCCACCTTCCTCCTCGGATTGAGCATGCGAATTGCTCTCAGCAGCGCCCGGACCACCGGCTGAATGCGCGGACAGTGGAAGAGTGCGTGTTCCAGCGTTTCCCTTTCCCCACAATGCGCGCAAGCGACCGCCGCTCCGAGAAAATGCAACCTCTCTCCTACTTGCAGGTTTCTACTGTGGATCCGGAGCAGCACGTCACGCGCCCGGTTTGGAATAGCTTCTGAGTCCCGCACGCTTATCGCCCTCTGCCAGTCGATCGGGCGGCCCCGTACCTCCTCCCAAGCAGTCTGCTGCCCCGGCTTCCCACCAAGCCTCTCAAAACCCTTCCGAAGCTGTTTGAGTTTTGCCGGACAGCCACCTTCCCATATTGGTGAGCACAGCAACCTCGCTTTGGGGCTCCCCGCAGGCCCCAGAAAGCGCCCCTCCCTGATGACGGCAGGAGTCACCTCCCAAACATGCAGCGTGCAGTAACGCTCCTCTGCATCACCTAGCACGCCAGAGACGCAGCGGAATGCTCGGCAGACTAGCAAGTTGCCATCTGCACTGACCACCTTCCAGAGGCCATGGCTGGTCCCCGCCTTTAATACAAAACCAGATACCTCCACGACTTTCTCCGCCGTGATTGGTGTTAGCAGCAGCTGCTTCCACTCGTCAGGGGCTGCGTCGAAAATCCGCTTTGCCAGCTTCCCTCCTGCATCTCCCCCGAAGGATCTTCCCATTTCCTCCTCAGTTTTCAGCGTTCTGGAACCATCTGGGTGAACAACTATCAGGTCCCGCATGGTTGATCGCGCAAGCCCTTTTGCCGCGTTTTGCCTCCCCGCAGGTTTCTTCCCGTTCGGCAGGAGGCAGCGATTGTACAGCAACAGCTCCTGCTCCACCTCCCAGACCGTGGACGCCGCGATACTCTCCGCAAAGTTGGACTCCAGGAAGAGCTCGCAGGTGCGCTTCCATCTGTCGCTTTTCCCCTTCCACTGCTTCATCTGGTCCTTGTGCCCCCAGAAGACTTGACAATCCTGAATGTCTGCTGCCGTGTGTGCCAGGTCAGCACGAAACCCGCCTTGCTGCGACATCAGAAGCGCCACCCGCCTCGCGGCATAGCCACCCAGCTCCGTGAAGGGATCTCGGACGCCCAGACCTCCCTCCTTCCGTGGCTTAAACAGCAACTCCTGGCTCCAGAGCGCGAACTGCTTCCCCGCTGTCGCGTGGTTTCCAGATACAAAGTTGTGGAGCAGCTTCACGATCTTCGCCCAGATCTCCGGGGGAGGTGCATACACTTGCGCTTGAAAGGCGAGGATGGGGTTCACGTAGCCGTTCACCACCACTACTCTCGCCGTAGTGGTCAGGTAGTGGACCTGCCACTTCCCGAACTCCGCAGCTGCCCGTTCCAGCGTAATCTCCCATGTTACGGCCGCGTCCCCAGAGGGCGAGATCCATACTCCAAGTAGTCGCTCCGCTTCATTTGGCTTTACCCAGCGAAATAATGAGTCTTTGTCTGCCTTTTTCGTCAGGTTGCTCCCCAGCGGAAGGAGGGCTGACTTCTCCATGTTTACCCGGAGGCCTGACCTCTCCCCGAAATCTTCGAGCAGCTTCACCGCCCGACCAATCTGCCGCTTGCCATCCAGCACCAACGTCGTGTCGTCCGCGTACCCCAGGTAGGCCAGCCTTCCGCCAAACGGGTTACTGATCCCCAGTTTCCTTCTTTTTGCCTCTTGGCAGATTGGTTCTACCGCGCAGAGAAACAAGTACGGCGCAAGTGGACACCCCTGCCGCACGCCTTTCCGGACGGCGACGCTCTCCCCCAGCCAACCGTTAAGGAGCAGCCTCGTAGATGAACCCTCGTGCAGGCCTCTGCACCACCCGACAAACCTCCGCGAAAAACCCATCCGCTCCATCGTTGTGAACAAGAAATCACGTGAGACAGAGTCGAAGGCCTTCTGGAAGTCCACAAGCAGGAGGTACCAATCTTCATTTTTGTTTTTTGCTGCCTCAACCACGTTAGCGATAAGCGAAACGCCGTCAGAAAGCCTTCTGCCCGGTAAGAATCCATATTGCTCTTCCGAGATCACTTTGTCCAGCACCTTCCTCATTCTGTTAGCAATCACCCGGGCGATCAGCTTGTACGTGCTATTCAGAAGCGTGATCGGCCGGTAGTTCTGAACTTGGTCCCTCGGCCCCTTCTTGTGCAGGAGGATGGTGACTGCCTCCTGCGCAGATGCCGGTAAAATCGCCGTTTCCTCGAACTTCCGCACGAACCCGAGAAGATCCCCGCCCAGCAGGTCCCAGTGGCGACTGTAAAACTCCTTGGGGATCCCGTCCGCACCCGGGGACTTGCCGTTTGCCATGTCCTTGAGCGCCTGTTTGACTTCATCCTCCGACCATTCCGCATCCAGCTGCTCCCTGTCCTCCTCCCACAGCCGCTTGCGCGGGTCAATCGGCCAGGTCGGCATCTCCCCCGGCGGCGGGGGCTCGGCGAAAAGATCCGCGTAGAACTCCGACGCCGCGCTCAGAATGCTCTTGTTGTCCTTGTGCTCCGTCCCCTTCCATTTCAGCGATGGGATCATGGTCCTTTCCTTCCGCACCTTGACTTTCGCAGATAGGAGCTTCCCAGGCATTTCCCCACTGCGCAGCTCCTTTACCCCTGACATGAGCGCGAGTCTCTCTTGCTCCGAGGAGAGATACGCGGCCAGCTGAGCCTCCTTCTCCGTCAAGGCGTCTCTCCGAGACTGACATTCCGGCTCCCTCATCACTTCTTGCTGCAAAACCGCTACCGCCGTTACCAGATGCCGTAGCGTCGCTTTCACCCGCTTCCCCTCCTCCGTCGCGAACCTCCGCAGCGCCGCGTTCATGCGCGTCATCAGCAGCTCGAAATCTCCCGAGCCTTCCGCGCCATGCACGTCACGGACCACAGCGACTACCTTTGCCGCGCCCGCCTTGCCCGCGTCAGACGCTCTAAATCTCCAAATTCCCGGCCCCACGTGAAGTTGCAGGTGGACTTTCAGGGCGATCTTCACCCCAAACCAGTGGTCTGAGAGACCCTTCAACGGACGACAGTGGGACGCGTCGGCGAGCTTCGGCAACAACGCTGCTGAAACAAGCGCGCGGTCAATGCGAGAACTGGACTTTGAAGCCCTCGAGAAAAACGTAAACTCTCGCACCCCAGGATTCATCCATCGGTAAGCATCAGTGAGACAGTGTGCTGCGCAGGTCTGCATCAGTCTGTCGTTTTCCCCGGCCGAGCCCATCTTGGACGATCTGTCCAGGATCGGATCCTCAACCACGTTCAAATCCCCGATGATGACCATGTGCTGCTTCCCCGCTGCCTGAGCCAGGAACGGGCGCAGTGTGTCCTGGAAAAAAGGACGACGGCTGCAGGCTTTCGCAGGGAAGTACACCGCCAGCAGCGTGCACCAGAAGGATTCCCACTGGACATCCACCTGAAGCAGTCGGCCTGAACAGTGCGCGACGACGTTAGTGAAGACCAAGGACTTGTTAAAACTTAAGATGGCTACCCCCCCTGCCTTCCCCGCAGGACCGATCGCGTGGCAGTGTGGCACTTTGAGTGACTTCCAGAACCCATGATCAGGGCCGATACGCGTGTCAACTAGAGTGAAGATATCTGGCGGCTTCTTAATCCATGCCTTCAAATGTTTCTGTTTTCCCCTGCTCCCGAGCCCGTTGACGTTGAGCTCGCGTATGTTCAGGAACGAAGCTTTATTCATTGGGAAACCACGGAGAAGCCCCAAGCATCCACGGGCTGTGAGAGACGACGGCAGTTTTATAGAAAATGCATACAGACTCAATGAACCCTACAGACACTAATCTATCTCCTTCCCGGCTGATGCAGAACTCTCCCCCTGCTACAGGCCGAAATCCTTCATCAGGTGCTTGAGGTTGATCTTCCCCTTCAGCACGCGGAGTGATTCCCCCCCTTTCGGGGCCCCATGACGGTGCCGCTGGGACAACGCGTGATGTGCAGCTTGCTCGAACGACGAGCCATGGGCCTTCTCGCAGCTGTCCTGGAGGCACACCCATTCCTCCCGATTCCCGCTGGTGGAGATGAGTACCAGGGACGGGTCCTTGAGAATGATCTTGGTCGTATCTGATGCAGTGGTCGCAGCAGCTGCGGAGAAACGATGTGAGTAAACAAGGAGAGACGCGGAGAGAAAGCGACAGCGAAAGAGGTGAGACGCCTGTAGCAACAGCGGAAATAGCTCGTCTACCGTTCAGCTCATGGACCCTCCCAACGGTGAGGTGCCACTTGGTGATGTTGTTCTGCCGCTCGATGACGAAATCATTATGGTTATGAATGGAGTGGTGACCTCCACACAAGCTGCACTTCAGCGCCGGGTAGTAAATCAGCAGAATCTCGTCGTTGTTGAGCGGATTTTCGATATAGTGCTTCCAACGGTAGAGATCTCCCTCGTGAGCGATCACCAGGCCCTTGATCCGGTCCGTGTCAAGCCCAGTGACGGAGTTGAGCGCACGATGGAAACAGAGACCCTCCTTGAACACCGACTTCTTCTTCTTCTTGAGCGGCGCCATCAACATTTCAAGTAGCATCGCAGGTGAGATCTCTGCAGGGACGACCTTGAAATAAAGCTCAATGGCCGCCGGGTTCGTCGCCTTCTGCCTGGCAAAAGCAGGGTCCACCGGGTACTGCCAGTCGAAGGTAGCATAATCACCATTCTTGCACTTATGCTCAACCTGGTTACGCCACACAAGGTTAGCATCAGACGCCTTATCAAAAGTGACTTGCATGCGACCATAAAGCTTCTTGTACAGATAAGCCGGCGTCAGCTCCTGGTATGTCGTGGTGGTTTGTGCCGCATCCGACAACTCATCCTTCCAGATCCCAATCAACCCCTTGATCGTAGGCTGCGTGCGGGGCACTTCTGGCAGGAACTGTTCAGGGACCAGGAGGGTGATCGGGTAGCGTGAGCGTGACGCGATCTCTCCCTTAGAGGCTTCCTCCACCTCTTCGTCGGAGTCATAAGCAATAAGCCCGTCATCTTCTTCGTTCTGCCGAGCCCTGGTTTGCGACTGAAGACAATTGTGTTCAATCTCATTGGTTCTCAACATAGGGGTTGTCAACTCTCATTGGCTCACAGCCTGAGTTGTGTCGCGCGGACCTCTGTCTCCCAGAAACATGGTAACCCGAAAGTCAGGGGAACAAGTTTTAAAAACTTGAACCGCGCGGCTTGCAATTTGGGCCGCGGGCTTTAAATGGAAACAAAGCGTATAACAAGTTTCACCCTAAACGCTTGCAACCATTGATTCTGCCCACACTTGGCAGACCTTCAGCCATTCCCCGACTTCTAATCCCGCAGTACCTCGATCCGACATGTCGTATCCCGAAATCTGCTGGGCTAGAGCGTAGGTTCGGCTGTAGGTTCGGTTGATCGAGCCTGTTGCCTAAAGTCTCGCCCCCTCCTCATACCTATCTCTTTCCCGCCTTCGAAAGTTCTCGAGCCGCACTCTGTACTCCCGATTGCGGCGGACATTGGGAGCACCACACGCACCACCTTCGCTCCTACAGTCGAGAGAGCTTGCACCGAATCGTCGGTACGCGGGACTGACCCGGAACAGTGATGCGACGCTTTAGGCCAGCCAGCGACGTCGCTCGGATTCCGCAGGCGATGCGGATTTGCTCGCAGTGGTCATCGGTGCCTCACAACCTTCGCAATTGCGAGCCTCACACCCTCGGCGATTCCGAGCCTTACACCCCTCCGTGACTTTCGTCGCACCCCCATTCAAGTTTCACGCACACCACATCGTCTCGTGGAATCCCAGCAGCCACTGATGCACCAGCAAAACAACTATAAAGCAAGCAGGGGTTCGTATTCTCATTCACCAGTGTGCACTAATCCGGTTGCTGCGAACTCTAATAATCAGCCTTTGACTTCCTACCGTCGTCTGCTCTTAAGGCCGTGGTTACTTTCTGAATCTTCTCGAGTGCTCCCTGAAACTCCTTGGATCTCTTCACTAAAGCTAGTTCGTTTCCGCTACTTCATTCGTCAGCGAAATGGACTGCGTTGGTGCTGCGAGTGCCTTCATGGACGTTGACGCTCTCTTCTCGAATCACTGGGAGCAGGATGACTCTCTAACTCGTTTTGTCTGCAGCCTGATCTCCCTTCCACGCCTGGTAAGAACAATGTCTACCTTCTCCTTTGCGCTTCTATGCGTATTATTACGCCGACGCCTCCTTGTCACAGATTATCTTAATATCTTGAGCAAAAACTAAAGTTGCTCACTTGAATCTTTGCAGGTCGACTTCAAGTGGACCAGCTCAAGCAATCAAGTTGCAGCAAAGGCTGTTGCTGTTGTGGATGAGCCTCCTGCTTGTCAGAGGTCCACTGGTGATCCCCGATGGATCCTAGGGAGGGGTTACAGGCTCGTTGTCTTGGGGGGTTATGGGCGCACTGACCCGCTACTTAACAAGCCCTTTTATCCCAATGGTCTAGTGGTTGGGATTCTGACATGTTATCAGAGCTTGTTAGATCCTGGCCTATGGGCCCATGCTTCCACTACTTGACGCTGCTGCTCTAGGTGCTAGTGCGTCTGCGTCCTCAGGTACTGGTGAGTCTGCGCTCTCAGGTACTGCGTCGGCTCCGGCCTCTCTCACCTTCACCCTTGACTCTGGGTCTTCTCGCTCCTTCTTTCGGGACCGCACCACACTCACGCCGCTTAGTCGGCCGATAGCGGTGTCTCTGGCGGACCCCTCTGGGGGTCCTGTCCTATCTCACTTCTCCACAGTCCTCCTGTGTCCGGCGGCACCCTCTGGCACCCTGTCTGGTCTCTACCTCCCCTCGTTCTCTACGAACCTGGTGAGTGGTGCTGACCTACAGGATGGGGGAGTACACCAATTCACTCCTGCGCGTCAGCGGGTGACGCACTGCACAGAGGCTAGCACAGGCCGACACCTGGCTACGTTTACCCGTCAGCCGGGGTCGAGCCTGTACACACTGACCACTGCGTCTCCTCTAGTTGCTGAGTCTGGTAGGGTAGCTGCGTCGGGTCAGGTGTTTGCTGCAGCGTCCAGGTCTAGTCCTGAGTCTACCCCCTGTTCGTGTCGTCTCCTGTCTGACAAGACTCTCCTCTGGCACCACCGTCTTGGTCACCCCTCTCTGCTTCGGCTCAGAGGCATGGCCTCCCGTCTTCTTGTTTCTGGTCTCCCCCGGTCCCTCCCTCCCCTTCCTCAGGGCCCTGGCCCTACCTGTGTCCCCTGTGTCGAGGGGCGCCAGCGGGCTGCCCCTCACTCCTCCCAGTTTTCTCCGACAGAGGCCCTGCTGCAGACGCTTCACATGGACGTGTGGGGCCCAGCCCGCGTCCGTGGACAGGGTCACGAGCGCTACTTCCTGCTCGTTGTTGACGACTACTCGCGTTACACCGCGGTCTTCCTCTTGCGCAGCAAGGGTGATGTCACTGAGCTGCTGATCGACTGGATCCGCGCAGCTCGTCTCCAGCTCAGGCAGACCTTTGGCTCGGACTTTCCTGTTCTGCGTCTACACTCGGACAGAGGCGGAGAGTTTTCCTCTGGCCTTCTGAGAGCCTACTGTCACGCACGAGGCATCCGTCAGACCTTCACGCTTCCGGACTCCCCGCAGCAAAATGGGATTGCTGAGCGCCGCATTGGCATGGTCATGGACGTCGCTCGTACGTCTATGATGCATGCGGCTGCTCCCCATTTTCTATGGCCGTTTGCGGTGAGGTACGCGGCGCATCAGATCAACCTACACCCTAGGGTCTCCAGGCCGGAGACCTCCCCAGCCTTGGTGTGGACGGGGAAGGTTGGCGATGCGTCGGCGTTCTGGGTCTGGGGATCTCGGGCGTTTGTCCGTGACTTGTCTGCGGACAAGCTGTCCCCTCGTGCTGCTCCTTGCGTCTTCATGGGGTTCCCCTCTGACGCGCCTGGGTGGCAGTTCTACCACCCCACCTCTCGCCGTGTTCTGTCCTCCCAGGACGTCACGTTTGACGAGTCGGTCCCCTACTACGGCCTCTTCCCCTACCGCACTCCATCCCTCCCCCCCCCCCCCGCTCTTCCTTGTACCAGGTCCCCCCCCGGTAGACCCCCTCCCCCCTCAGGGTTCTGCCCCTTCAGGTGTGTCCCAGGTAGACGCAGTCGAGCCTGTCGAGGTTACTGGTGACTCTGGTGCTGCTGGGGGTGCTGAGCCTGGGGGTGCTGAGACTGGGGGTGCTGCGCCTGGGGGTGCTGAGACTGGGGGTGCTGAGCCTGGGGGTGCTGCGACTGGGGGTGCTGAGCCTGGGGGTGCTGAGCCTAGGGGTGCTGAGCCTGGGGGTGCTGTGCCTGGGGGTGCTACGCCTGGGGGTGCTGTGCCTGGGAGTGCTCCACCTGGGGGTGCTGAGCCGGGGGGTGCTGAGTTTGGAGGTGCTACACCTGGAGGTTCTCCGGTTGCTTCGTCTCTGCGGGAGCCACTCTCTCCACAGGAGCTGCGCGAGTGGTTTGCCCGGCGATGGAGCCGTGCTGCTGGTGCTAGAGGTTCTTCGGCTACTGAGGGTGCTGCAGTCGCGGGTCCTGGATGTGCTCATATTGGGAGTACTGGAGCTGCTGGGCCTGCGGGTTCGACTGGAGCTGGTGCTGCGGAGGGTGTTGGCGCAGAGACTACCGCTGGCGGTCCTGCTGGGGGTACTCCTGGTGCTGCTGGAGGTTCTGGAGCTACTTGAGGTGCTGTTGGAGCGGGTGCTCCTGCTGGGGGTACTGGTGCTGTCACTGCTGTGTCTGGTGTCGCCACGCGGCCTCGACCGTACTTCGTTCCACTCCTACAGCAGGTTCTTGGTCTTCCACCTTCTACTAGTCCTCCTCCTCTCTTAGAGTGTCCACAGCATGTCCTGTCACAGTTACAGTTGCAGCCTACCTCCCCTTTACCTGCTCCTTCTCCCTACACTGGTCCTACTGTAGGTCTTGCTGAGCGTCGTGAGCCTGCGTCTCGCCCTACGTCGCCTGACCGTGCTGCTCGCGCTAGTGGTTGTGGTTCGCGTCAGCGTCCCCCTTCTGTCCCTGGCACGCACGGGATGTCTCTGCGTCCGTCCACTGCTCCTCTGCGTGCCCCTTTGCCTTCTCCTCCTGAGTCCTCTCTTCCTGCTCTTGCCGACTCGGAGTCGGACTCTCTTCGTGCTGCCAGTCCTACTGTCACGCGTCTCATGGCTACTGTCGTCACTGACCCTTCTTTCGAGTCCACTGCTGCGTCTGCCCTAGTTGCTGAGCTCGTCGACTATGATGCTCGCTGTCGCCTAGACTACGCTGCTAGTCTTGTAGCTGAGTCTGAGTCTGTCTGTCCTCCGTCCGTCGGGGGTGAGTGTGCCCTTGGCACGGACGTCCTTGAGGACAGGCAGGAGGAGTTCCAGTGTCTGGCAGCTGCTTCACCTCATCTCGTGTCCGTACTGCTTACCCCTGAGGGAGACCCGGATGCACTTGACATCCCGACTCCGCGCTCCTACGCGGAGGCGATAGAGGGTCCCTACTCGTCTCAGTGGCAGGCAGCTATGGACACAGAGATGGCTTCCTAGAAGTCCACATGCACCTACGTTGACGAGGTTCCCCCGCCTGGGGCGAACATCGTCAGTGGCGTGTGGATCTTCAGAGTGAAGCGGCCGCCGGGTTCTCCGCTTGTCTTCAAGGCACGTTACATGGCTCGTGGCTTCAGTCAGCGACAGGGAGTTGACTACTTTCAGACCTTCTCTCCCACCCCGAAGATGACCACTCTTCGGGTACTGCTGCACGTTGCTGCTCACCGTGACTACGAGCTGCACTCTCTCGACTTTAGCACAGCTTTCTTGCAGGGCAGCCTGCACGAGGAGATTTGGCTGCGCCGCCCACCTGGCTTCACTGGGTCGTTCCCTCCTGGTACCCACTGGAGCCTCCGGCGTCCAGTTTACGGTCTCCGCCAGGCGCCACATGAGTGGCACGACACACTGAGGACTGCGCTTGCGGCTCTTGGGTTTGCTCCTTCTACTGCCGGCCCGTCGCTGTTTCTACGCACCGACACCTCTCTGCCGCCGTTCTACATCCTCGTGTACGTCGACGACTTGGTCTTTGCCACAGCCGACACTGCTGGACTCGC